ACAATCAATGTACCCCTTTAGATCAATGAAAGAATTAAAACAGCTATTATAACTATTTTTCTCTTGTTGATAAATAATTAGGTTTATTGATAGATAATTAGGTTTACTTATAAGGCCGTGATGGGAAAGGGTATTCACTGGGGGGGGGGGGGGTGTTGTTGCTTCTTTTTGTGAGGTATTTCTGTGTTGTATTTTCCTGGTGTGTTTTTTTTTTGGGGGGGGGGGTTTTGTTGGGATGGTGAGTGGGTGAGGTTGTTGTGGGTGGAGCTGTGTTAAGGTCGGGTGTGGATACTGGGAGATCCGAATACGCCCGTACATACATACGCACACGCAGAAACGCCAAGACACGTACATAAACACGGGCAACAACCTCCCCCCCCTCACACATACACATTAAAAAAAAAAAAAACGTAAAAATGAACAGAAACACCCCTACACTCAAACACCCCTCCCCCATATACAAACACGCTCCCACCCCCCACCCTCCACCCCACCACACACACGCTTCCAACCTTCCCCATATACAAACACCACCCCCCCACCCCACCCCCCAACCCTCACACACGCTTCCCAGACGCTGACGAAGGTCCCCCCCTCTCGCCCTCTCCCTCCTGCAGGTGCTCAACACCACACCCTCACACCCAACCCTCACACACGCTTTCCAGACGCTGACGAAGGTCCCCCCCCTCGCCCTCTCCCTCCTGCAGGTGCTCAACCCCCACCCTCCACCCCAACCCTCACACACGCTTCCCAGACGCTGACGAAGGGTCCCCCCCCGCCCTCTTCCTCCTGCAGGTGCTCAACCCCCCACCCTCCACCCCAACCCTCACACACGCTTCCCAGACGCTGACGAAGGTCCCCTCTCGCCCTCTCCCTCCTGCAGGTGCTCAACCCCCCACCCTCCACCCCAACCCTCACACAGCTTCCCACGCTGACGAAGGTCCCCCCCCCCCTCGCCCTCTCCCTCCTGCAGGTGCTCAACCCCCCACTCCACCCCAACCCTCACACACGCTTCCCAGACGCTGACGAAGGTCCCCCTCTCGCCCTCTCCCTCCTGCAGGTGGCTCAACCCCCCCACCTCCACCCCAACCCTCACACACGCTCCCAGACGCTGACGAAGGTCCCCCCCCTCGCCTCTCCCTCTGCAGGTGCTCAACCCCCCACCCTCCACCAACCCTCACACACGCTCCTCGCCCTCTCCCTCCTGCAGGTGCTCAACCCCCACCCCCACCCAACCCTCACACACGCTTCCCAGACGCTGACGAAGGTCCCCCCCCTCTCGCCCTCTCCCTCCTGCAGGTGCTCAACCAGCCGGAGAACCTCATAAGTGACGGCGTCGTGGTGTTCAACGGCATCCTGGTGGGCTGCATTTCGGTGGCTGTGTTCCCGCCTCTCTCGGGACACCAGATCGACTCCCTCTTCTGGCTATACGTCACCATTGCTGTTGTCATAACGTAAGATTTGGTCTCCTTTTTTATTTACACTTTCTTGGCTAGTCAGACATTTTTTTTTTTTTTTTTTGAGGGATGTAAAGAAAACAATAATAAAGTGTTACACTTTCTTGGCTTGTCAGACTTTTTTTTTTTTTTTTTGAGGGATGTAAAGAAAATAAAAAAGTGTTCTTGTTAGGAAAGTGGAATCTAAATGTAGTCTAAATGTACCATTTGGAAAGGTAAATATGTACCATTTTTTAATGGAAAGCAGTGTAAAAAAAGCTCTTAATCCCTTCAGATCAATGAAAGAATTTAAACTTATCAATTATAAACATTTTTATCTTATTGATAAATAATTAGGTTTACTTATTAGGAAAGGCGAAGTCTTAATATACTATCCCCCAATGAAATAATTTCATGTGCCATTTCGCAAGATAGAAAAAATACCGATTGTCTTTTGTTGTTATTTTTAAAAATCAAAACCACTAAACCCTTCCAGATCCACTAAAACCCTTCCAAAAACCCCTTCCAGATCCACTAAAACCCTTCCAAAAAACCCTTCCAGATCCACTAAAAACCCTTCCAAAAACCCCTTCCAGATCCTACGTGGACAAAGGCCTCAATGCTCTCATGGCGGCTTCGAAGCTCCCAGCTCTGTCCATCCCGTTCAACTTTTCCGCCGCCATTATGCTACTGAGCATGCGCAGCGCCGCCAACCTCCAGGGCGCCCAACTCCCGGGGGTCGACGGCGCCAACGGGACAGCGGAGGTCAATGTCACGCAGGAGATAGAGTGGGGGAAGGTAGGAGGCCAGGCTGGCGTCAAGAGGGAGGGAGGGAGTGGGAGGGAGTGGGAGGGAGAATGAGGGAGTTGGAGGGAGGGAGGGAGAAGGAAGGAGGTCAACGTCACGCAGGAGATAGAGTGGGGGAAGGTAAGGAGGCCCGGCTGGCGTCAAGAAGGGAGGGAGGGAGTGGAGGGAGGGGAAGGGGGGAGGGAGGGAGGGAGTGGGAGGGAAGGGAGTGGGCGGAGGGACGGAGGCAGTGGGAGGGAGTGGGAGGGAGGGAGGGA